GTTTGATGATCAACTTCATATGCAGGTGCTAGATGGATTGATTGTTGTAGTTGACATATCAAATCCGGAAAGTGAGTTGTTGCAAATACCGAAGTGTTCTTTTCAAGATGCTAGAAACTGCGCGTATTATTTTTGAGGCAGTGAATCTATTTGGTTTCCTTTCGGTGAAATTTCACACCTAAATGATGAAACTCTGTTAATCCTTTTTTCCACCTTACCGTCATTTCTGGGATAATTGTGGTTTTATTCTAAACAGATCTCACCAATCTTTGCCATGAATCGCTTGATAACTGCTCTTGCTTCTATGTAAATTTGCTCCTGAATGATCTAGGTTACGACAGCATTTCTTGAAGACAAATATTTTGAAGATAGATTGCCTTCAAGAACTGGGCGAGCTCAAAATGGAAGCTGTTAGTTTTAAGACCGGAATTAGCAACGTCTGGTGCTTAATCTTACACTGATCCTAACGAAAAACAATATCCATCAGATGGAAAGTGAGATATAATCATTGAATTTATCAGCTGACACCTCGTGATAAGAAGATCGTGATGTTGTAAACGTGCCAACTCACCATCATTCTGCCATAAAACACTCGGATGAATTTAATGAATCTCACATACAATAACATTCACGATATAAATATGGCTTTATTTGGCTAATCTAACCGAGTTAAAGTACCGAAAAGCTCAAACAAACCGTAAATTAGACAAAACAGAACTGTGGATGGAACAGCATCCGCTGTGAATAACGGAAATGACGAAATGCACCATATCCTCACATTAGTGAACGACCTTTACTTACGAATGTTAAATTTTTAGTCTCCTTCTTCATTTAAACATACTTTTGGTAGTTAAAAAAAGAAAATTTGGACTGAATTTAGATGGCTTTACTAAACCCTAAGTGGGATATGGCAATATAGTATCCTCTATTACGGCTCTACATTGATGATATTGAAAAGCATTTACTACAGAAACGCGAATCGTTGGGTAGTTTTGGGTTCAAAATCTACCACGAAAGTCTAAATGAATATTACCTACATGTGCCTTAAAAAGGTTGTTTGAAATACTTATAAAACTATATAAATGGATGTAAAATATGTGAAACACTGTTTGATACCTATCCCTAACATTAATGCTGGTGGTACCTCTCATAATTTGATAGTTTAGTGTATAAAGTTTGATTGAATTCATTACCCTACTCATTTGGAGTATTTAAGTCCAGGTATTCCTTTAAGTGACTTTGTCGAAGTAACTCCACAAAAGTTCTCAAAAATTCAAACTTTTCTTATGCATTAGATGTGTCACTTAAACATATTTCACCGAGCTGCCTTTTCGATATTCTACCTGCTTTCAAATACAGACTTTCGTGTAGGGACTTGACGATATCAATTTCAACTTTGACCGACAGAACCACAGATTTGTTTGACTCTTATTGAAGATACCCGACTGTTATTGACGGGAAACTAAAATCTCCGCTCACGTTAACGAGGAGTGAATTGCCAACCGATATTTACATTGGTAATCATACACCTCTAGTGGAAATTGAAGACCCGATAAAACTGTCACCGTTCCAATTATATTCGGGGTGGTTTTCCTGAGTGATGATAAATGGACTTCAGTACAGAGGAAAAGAAAGGAGAAGAAAAAAGCTGAGGGCAAAACACAGCTGGTTAGCGAATCATCGGGAGAGACGGTATCAGAAACAAAAACTCCACTGCGTGTCAAGACTTATCTCTCTGATAGGTTAGTCAGTTATTATAAGTTAAGAGAATCTTCCGATAAGGAACCAAAGGCAAGATTTGAACATGATCTCAATCATATTAAGACATCATTAAGTAAACTACTCTCAGATACAGTTTCAGGAGTTAGTATTTGTAAGCGTTACAGAATAGGACAAAAGGTGGATTCTGAAAGTCCTCAGAAAAGCCGCCTCTTGAAAGTAACATTTGCCACGGTTGAAGAAATGAACCTGATTCTAGGTAACTCACGTAAACTGATTGGGCCCGGAATATACGTCCGTGAGGATCTCGACTTAGCTGATCGTATTAAGAGATGAGATGCAGAAGTGTAAATAAATGAGCGCCACCGAAACGGTTAAAGAAACCTCGTTCTTAAGGGTTTTCAAATTGTAAAAGTTCGGAGCAAAACGATCCTCAAACCACTCTGGATGGTAAGGGAAGGTTGTACACAGACTTAAAGTTATGCTACACAAATGCTCGCAGCCTACTAAATAAAATGACGGAGCTTAGGTCATTGGTGGATAAAGAAAAACCGGACGTTATTGCTGTCTCGGAAACTTGATTAACGTCAGAAGTATTAGGTAGTGAAATCCAGTTGACTGTTTTTTTAATCAATAGGGCTGATAGCTTAAACTGTAGGGGAGGCGGGGTTATCCTGTACACGAAAAGTACCCCAACCATAAGATTAGCTGAGACAGTAGCACATGTTTCAGGGACATGTGAACTGGTGAGATGTAAGCTGAAATGTAGACGGCAAGATATTGAATTAGTTGCAGTATATCGCAGTCCAGAATGTGTAGCAGATGATTTTCTCCTAAGTAAATTTAAGTCCTGATGTAACAAGGGTAAAAGCATAGTAGTAGGAGACTTTAATGCACCGTATATAAACTGGGTTAACTTAGAAGTAGGGTCATCGGTAACGTCGTTCGAATTCAAACTGTTAGAAGCATCCATTGGATTAGCTTTATCCCAACGCATTAGAAACCCCACAAGATATGACTTAAGAAACTCTTCTTCTATATTAGATTTAGTCTTCACACACGGTGATGACGTTGGTCAAATGACTTTCCTCCCACCACTAGTGAGAAGTGACCATGCAGTCATCTTATTCCAATTCATGGCTGAGATTGCTTGTCAAACAGTTGCGTCGGCTCGTCCTAACATATGGAAGGCAGATATGCAGGCAAGTAACTCCGCAGCATCGGCTGAAAGCTGGAAATTGACCCAAAGGCATCAGTACAAGAGGCACTGACTCTTTTTAGGCAGTTATACAATCGGGTAACTCAGCCATACATACCCTGGATAGTTCCAAAGAAGAAGAAAAACGGTTATCCCTGGATAGGGCGGGATATTCGACGTTTACCAAGGCAAAAGAAGAAATGTTGGGATGTTGTCATCCGCCTTGGCACGATGGAACGCTACAGATCGGTAAGAAACAAGTGTATAACAAGGAAGGAAGTGAATCTGAAATGATAGAGGAAGATCAGGAAAAAGCAGAGGCTATGGCTGACTATTTTGGGGCAGTTTTCATTCAGGAACCTCCTCTAGAGAATGAACCAGACCCAAATACAGAGTCAACACACCAGCTGCTCACCGTGGACTTTGACCACAACGATGTGCTTAAGGCTCTTAGCACCCTAAACATGGAGAAGTCTACAGGACCGGATGAACTACACCCCAAAATCTAGAGAAATATTACCCAATATATCGCGGCCCCACTGACTGTGATATTCAATATGTCACTTGACCGTGTGTTACCTATGGACTGGAAGGACGCAATCGTCACCCCCATACATAAAATAGGTCCACGACAAGTTCCATCGAATTACAGACCCGTAGGCCTGACCAGTGTTGTAATTAAAACGCTGGAAAGAATAATCAAACGGACCATAACGGCATTTATGGAAACCAATAACTTGCTGAACATGGCACAACATGGTTTTAGAAAGGGTCTATCCTGTACAACGAACCTCCTTATAGCTAGGGAGTTCTGGATTAATGCGCTAGACAACGGAAACTCCGTGGATGTTATCTACATAGATTTCAGCAAGACTTTTGACAAGGTGCCAACTAATAGACTGCTATTGAAGTTGGCAAACCTTGGTATTGCCGGACCTCTTTTAAAATGGATTAAAGATTTCCTAGTAGGACATAGACAAAAAGTAAGAATAAATTCCAAGTGCTCCACCTAGAGACCAGTACTTAGTGGAGTACCCCAAGGTTCCGTCCTAGGTCCTTTACTTTTTATCATATACATTAATGATCTTACAAGTATAGTACAGTCTCCAGTGTACAAATTTGGCGAGTAATAACTGGGGACAAAGACCCATTTACTCTTCAGGCAGACTTAAATAATATGATAAACTGGTCTAAAGAGTGGCTGATGCCTATCAACGTGGAAAAGTGTGTCTACATGCACTAGGGGGATTCAAAGGTTATTACGTAAAACATAGAGGATGTGTCATTATACGTAGTCCGGTCTCATAAGGATCTAAAGGTGACAGTGAGTAATGATCTTAAGATGACGACCCATTGCCGGGAGGTCGCAGCCAAGGGGTTTCGAACCCTCTGGGCTTTAAAAAGGATTATCACTAAGTTAGATACTACCATGTTCACCACAATATACACAACCTTAGTGAGAACTAAACTATTGAACTGCGTTCAGGCCGCAAGCCCCTGCTTAAAAGGTGAATCGGACATTCTAGAAAAAGTACAGAGGGCAGCTGCCGTGCGATTTCAGAACTCCGATGTTTACCATAAAAAGAGCGGCTTGAAAAGCTGGACCTCTTTACTCTGTCCTGTCGCAGGTTGAGGGGAGATCCAATTTTGATGTACAGAATACTGAGAAATGATTTTGGACCTAACTTATTCTCTTTTTTTCTTCCCACTAGATCGGGACATCTCAGAGGACATAGCAGACGAGTAGAAAAGCCAAGAACGAACAAAATACCCGCGTAATACAGGTTTTAACAACAAGTCATCAATACTTGGAACCTGCTTTTCGAAGCAGTGGTATCCACACATTCAACTGACTGTTTTAAGAGGAGACTTTACACTCACAGAAGCATACTAGAAAAGGCCTTCTGTCCTTACTACACAAGTCTGAATCTATCTATCCACGTAGTTAGCGCGGACGCAGTCGGAATAATGTTATATCTATCTACAATCATTGAGCACACATCGCAAGTGAGCAAATAATTTTGTTGATAAAGAATTAAGACTGCATTTGTTTTGTTGAGTTAACGTAAGGAAAATTTATGCTACTGTTTTTTTGAGTCAAAAGCGCGAGCGGGACGTCTGGTTTTGTACATACGGAAGCATTGTATAAACTAGTCGATGTTTTAGAATTATGGGTGATAATAAAAGAGCATCTTATAGTCCGATGAATGCAGAACTTCTTCGTGATGAGAAAGAGCCTTTGCGGGAGGCAGATTTATCTTCTAAGGATATGGTGTGGGTTCCTCATGAACGAGAAGCATTTGTCGCAGCTATTAAGCTTCAAGAACAAGGAGAAAACGTTGTAGTACAGCTCGTAGAGTCAGGAAAGAAATGTACGTTTCCTAAGGATTATGTTCAAAGAATGAACCCTGCAAAATACGACAAGATAAAGGACATGGCAAACCTATCTTTTATGAATGAAGCATCAGTCTTAAATAACTTAAAAACGAGATATTATTCAGGAATGATCTATGTAAGTCATTGAATTGTTTCTCATAACAATATAGACATACTCCGGATTGTTTTGTGTGGTTGTTAACCCATACAAACGATTACCGATCTATGACGAAGAGATAGTAGAGTGGTATAAAGGAAAAAAGCGCCATGAAAGACCACCACATATATTCGCTATTGCTGATGGAGCTTACCGTAGCATGCTTCAAGGTAATCATGTGTAATTTGAGTTATGTGTGTTACAGACCGTGAGGATCAGTCGATTTTGTGCACGTAAGTGTGTTGTTCAATTTTACTGGATCTTGTAGCGGTGAATCAGGATCTGGAAAGACCGAAAATACGAAAAAGGTAATACAATACCTCGCATGTGTTGCCACGTCTGCAAAACATCAAAAAACATCAGCCAAAAATGTAATGTCAAAGTTTAACGTAAGTACTTTTTCAACCTATTCTGACAAATTTGATATTTGGACACATGCTTTATAAACATGATAATAAGTTATTCCGTATAGGCTCTTAAATTTCTATTTCCAAAACATGTGGACCAGTTTTTCGTCATATCTCATATCTTATTTGCCTTTTCTGATCCCTAATTTTATGTAGTCGAAATCTCAGCCGATGTGTGTAATAAAAAAGATAACTTGCAATCATTCCATGGTTTGATTCACATGCGGTTATAGTTATTTTTGAGCACCCAGATCGTTTGCTAAACTCTATAGACATTTAGATTTATATGTTTAGGTTCATGCGACTCGTATAACCCTCAACCACAAATTTTTGTCTCATATCAGCGTCTATTCATCTATTATTTCGTAACTGGGAAAAGCAAAGTTGCAACTTAATTGAGTAAACACATGTAACGAGAACACTTTCGTTAATCGATATCAACACCAAGGTTAGGAATAGTAGTTTCGAATAAATTGATACTGGGTAGAAAGTTAATAATGACAATATAATTATATTATTACTTCCATTAATATGGTTTTCAACATGTTCCTCAGTTTCTGAACTGTAATATTGCATAGTTTTGCTCAATATCCACTGCCTAATTTACCAGCAATTCTGTTACATGATTTACAACTGAATAATGAGTTACAATTAATAATATGATTGGACCCTGTTCAAAACTCGATAGTATTATTTTAATCTGGTTTTTAATTTAATTTTTAGACGAAAGATTTCAGTATTGTAAGTTTGCAGTTGCTTTATGTACACGATGAGTCTTTCACAAATTCCTTGTGCACTTGATTTTACTGTTTATGATGAATGGTGATCCTTAAAGGTTCTTTTTTTTCAAAATTATTTTTGAGAATCCGTGTCACAGTGATTACTGGTCATTAACATAAACCTGTTATCTAATTATTTTTTATTGGTGAAGGTTACGGTGTTTGATACCTGTTTACATTTCATTTCACTTCTATACATTGTTTTCATCTTACAGGGTGAACTTGAAGCACAACTTTTGAAGGCAAATCCCATTCTTGAAGCCTTTGGAAATGCCAAAACAATTAAAAATGATAATTCTTCACGTTTTGTAAGTGAATCATTTCTTCAAAACATTCTTTTCAATTGGCCGGAAACCGCACCTAATTTTAGGATTTTGTCTTTTGTTGTAGAGCCACTATTATAAATCAACGTATATGATGATTACGCTTATTATTTTAGTTATAAATGATTGTATTTTCCAAATGTTGAACGATGTCACTCACTGACATGCAACCAGTTCTCGTTATCGCTCCACTATTATGCACACTTTTTTGTGGTCTGTCAAATTCTTGTTTTACACTCCTATCCATTTATCAATCGCCCCATATTTTCGATCTAATGCTTCTCCTAGAGGAAAACGTTTGCACGGTGAACTTAGTCCCATCAACACAAAATCTACTATATATCGTTTGACAAAACATGAGTAGTAAAAATCCTTAATTGCTGATTAACCAAGCCCTTTCCTATGAATTAGCTAGCTCATTAGCTCAAGTAATTTAATAAAATACTTTTGGGTGAGATAAACAGAATTTGACCTATTCGTAGATAAGAAGTCTTCGTGCGTGAACCACTGAGTAAGAAATACCTGGGTTAGAAATAAAGTACTAGGTAGGGATAGCATTTCAATTGATTAAGTAGTGAATCTTCATCTACTGAGGTGTTTGGGACATGTCACTTATTCCTAACCATCACCTTTCTCGACGGGCAGTGTCTGATGTGGAAGTAAACTATAAGAAAGCTAGGGGCGGCCAAGCCAAGATATGACATGAAATCATCGACAGTTGGAGTGAGCCATGTTAATAGGTGTAAACTACCTGGTTGAGGTCTGCGTGATTATCGTAACCAATGGTTAGAGTCCTTAAATGACATGGCTCAAAGTAGCTTGAAATGGCTCATGTGCATCCATTATTTGTCTTCCCCCAAATATTGAGATTCTAAATTCTTCATAGCGTTTTTTGTGTTTCTGTTTTACTAATTTACATTCACATGAGTGCTTAATTTATTCTATTGCCATTCATACTGCTACTACCTCAACTGTTGTGAGGTTCGGCCTGACAGTTTCACCTCTGCTGATGGAGTATGGCATCTTGAATTGACGTACATACATGACAGGTTTTACGTGGTGACTGAATTTTTGTGTTTATTAGTTTACTGGGTTACAATAAGTGCAAGAAAATCATCTTAATGTTACCACTTTAAGTGTTCGATAATTATCTCAATGACTTCTATGCTACAAGTTATGTTGTGGTCTTTTACTTTATGTATCATTTTCCATCTGATATTTAAATAAATAACTAATAATTTCTTTTTGTAGGGTAAATTTATTCGTATTAATTTTGACACATCTGGATTCATTGCTGGAGCTAATATTGAAACATGTATCCCTTTTATGATTGGTTCTTGTGTACGTACGGCTTTTGCTTTTAAGTTTTTTTTCATTCGGTCAATTAAATAATGTATTATAAATATGGAACTTGTGTGTTTTAATTTAAATGTTATGGTACACATAATAAATCAATTTAAACACATGATTGTCTTGAGGTTGCACCTTCATTCAGACCCCTACATAATGTAAATAATCCCCCATATATCTTGAGCTCCTGACATCCAAATCACAGAAATTATGCATTACTTGTATTTATAGTTAGTCTAACAAAACACGTATCCTCTCTGACCATTGATTCAGCATTTCGTGGTTTTTTCGCTTAAGAATAACGAAGAAATCAACATTGATGGAATATATACGTAGTTAAAAAATATATGTATCAAAGAAAAAAATTAGACGACAATCACTAAAAACTCTAAGTTTGAGGGATAAAAAATGAGTATATTTGTGTCATTAGAATTTATTCCAAGCAATCATCTTGAGTTGTGAACCACATATCTATGTTATCTTTTTGAACCTGCGTGAGGTTACTTCGTTTCATTAACTGGCGCCATCTTCATATTTGACCGCTTTTTTAATTTTTATTTTAAAGTCATATGCGGAGATTGTTAATTCCTTATCATAGTATAGATCTTTTAGAGAAAGCTCGTGTTATTCGTCAGGCAGTGGATGAACGCAGCTTCCACATATTTTATCAGCTTTTGGCATCAGCTTCTCCAGCAATGCAACAACAACTATTATTAAATCATGCTAGTGCTTATCGTTTCCTTTCAAATGGTATGATCGAACTTCCGGGGATCGATGAGCAACAGTTTTTCCGTGAAACAACTGAAGCCATGGATATAATGGGAATTAATAACGAAGATCAAAATGGTACGTTTAATGTAGTTAACTTAGATATCTTGTTTCTGCAAATAAAATGTTGATATCTTGTCGAGTAAACTTATTTACTTTACACCTTCCAAATTCAGTGGTTGTCAAATACTTTATCCTTATCATTTGTTATTTTAGCCATATTCCGCGTGATATCTGCTGTGCTTCATCTAGGAAACTTAGAATTTCGTCAGGAACGAAGTTCTGACCAAGCAACTTTACCAGATCATTCAGGTTAGTGTTTGGAAATTCGTTATGCTCTATTACACTGAGTTAGTTGTATAATGTTTGTCAACTTTTGATTTACTGCTTGATATCCATACGTCATATTCCATGGGTTCATATTCATATTTCAGTTTCGTGTACATAATGTTGCTCAAAATGGCTTAAAGTACATAAAGACAAGGTTTACGGTTTTTTTAGTCACAGTTATCAGTTTGTGATCATATCTTCAAATGAAACATGTTCATAAACATTGAAATGATTAATACTTTACTGAATCAGATATTACACCATACCAAATCACAATTTTTTTATGTTGCGATTACTGATGTGGTACACAGCGATTTCGCTAAAATATTTTATCAGTTTTTAATAGCATTTAGTACATACTGTTATTAGGTATCATAGTTCCATACATCACTTATATGTTAATTACGTTCGTATTTTAACACGATATCACAGGCGTCAGCCCTTGGTATTAATATGTTGACCGGATTATTCCTATTATTATCTAAGCACACAAAGTATGTGTATAGCATCAAAGAAAATTTAGTAAATTTGTAGAAAAAAGTCGTTGACAAAGTAGTGTATAATAAGATGAACACCAGTTAACAATACAATTCGGTTTAGAAAACGCAACCAAGAATAGTTCTTTCAGTTAAAGAAGTTCCTCTCATATTTATGAAGATTGTAAAGGATAACTGCGGCAAAATCCCATCGGCTTCTGTTTTGACCCATGTGTGATAACGCTCGGAGCTACTGAGTTGACTGGATCATCTATCCTTTGGCCAGGATTCGAAATATAGATATACTTATCCCACTTTTTGATTGTAGCTATATCTCTTGATTTCAGTCGGCATGCTATCACATTAATCAAGTTTTACGGGAGTTCCTGTCATTGGAATTCGTGCTAATAAAGCACACTAACCTACTGGATTCTCTTTGCCCGAATACTATTAGTCAGGTTAGAGCTTACGGCGAACCATCTTCTAAAATTTGAATACGCTAAATAATGTCCACCAAAGTCCTAGAATAATAACTGATCTAAAAAAAGTTGTGTATTTATTTATTCGTGGTTTCTGTTCAGCAGTTGTAAACGATACTTCAAAGTTTTTGTTCACAGGTTAACTTGACCATTTGCTATAAATAGGGTAAATCATTTTAGATGCCAGTTTACAATTAGATCATAATTGTACCACTGTAAACATAAGCTCTTGAAGTAGAAATTGAGCACTCTAAAAGTTTTTAGTGGGACTACTTTATTATTATAGAAGCCGAATGTTATCAGATGTTTATGATATCCGATTTCTTTTTTATGGAATTTATCAATAGTAACGATTTCAATTTATTACCATACTTTACAGTTGTAAAATCTTAATCTACCACAATGTTTTATTCGTATAACAATTAACACGTACCTTAATACCTTCCCTAGTCGCTGAAAAGGTATCCCATCTTCTGGGTATCCCTCTGAATGAAATGGTCAAAGCGTTTTTGAAACCGCGCATCAAAGTTGGGAAAGATCTGGTGTCAAAAGCTCAAACCAAAACGCAAGTGGAATTCGCTGTTGAAGCTATTTCAAAATCTATCTACGAAAGGCTCTTTCTTTGGTTAGTCGCACGAATAAATAAAACACTTGACAAAACTAGACGACCGGGTGCATCATTTGTCGGGATTCTCGATATAGCTGGTTTCGAAATCTTCCAAGTGAGTTGATATTTTGTAACAGTTTGGTATTATCTCCGTGCCTTTTGTACTTTGAAGTACTTGAGTTATCTAACTGGACCAATTATTGATAGAGAGACACATATATAAACAACTTAGGAATTGGAACCATAACATCGATCCAGGTTGATACATCGTCCATATCATACCGCAAGCTGTTTACTTACGCCTGTTACCCCTCATTGAGCACAGGCTGCCGACCAAGATTCTCCAACTAACTAGTTTTTTCCAGTTACTATTCATTCTTTTGATGTCTGCCTCCAAGGTGTAGTCAGGGTAAAAGGATTTCTGTAAGTGAAGACAGCTTAAATAGCAATAGGACCTGAAAAATCCGTTCACATGAATGTTATAGGGTAAGCCGTAATAAGCTACCTACCAATTATAATAAGATAAATGTATCTACACTGACACTTGTAGTCTTAAAGCACTACATAGAAGACTGTCCTCATTAAATAAAAAAGATTGAGATCGATGTCATAGTTACTTTGTTTTAACACTATTAACCTTTCTTCGTGTTGTTAAGAATCCTGAAATGATTAGGTAATACTCTTTTGTGCCATACTCTCACATTGCCCCAACTAACTGATTATTCTACAACTGCATGCATCTTCAGCTCATACTGGTAGTCGGTTCACGTACGTACCAATTTCGCAGAGAATTCGAAAATACAGTTGTCATATCAATTTTTAAAGTTTGTTTCTGCTAAAAAACTTTATTTTTGTCTAACCACACTTGTTCATTGTGATAAATAAGTCAATTTGCGACAATCTATTGGTTTTAATTTTTTTTTTCACAGGTGAATTCTTTTGAACAGCTATGCATCAATTATACGAATGAGAAACTTCAACAACTTTTTAACCATACAATGTTTATCTTAGAACAAGATGAGTATACTCGTGAAGGCATACCATGGGAATTTATAGACTTTGGACTTGATTTGCAACCGACAATCGATCTAATTGAACGAGTAAGTTGAACAATTCAAATTACCCAGACAGTTCGCGGTAATTGATTTGGTATCGGTAACTGTTCATTATCGTATGAACTTTTTGCACTATAAATCTCTGTTCATTCGATATAACGCATGTTTACGAACCTGAATGGATTTATACCTACTTAACTCCTCATTCCATGGTTGACGCATATATTAAATATCACACTTATTCAACGTTGATAACAAAGAATCAACATAGATTTTTCTGTATATTTTTCTTCTAAAACATGTACAACCTACTCCATTTAGATTTGATGGGTTACCATAGGTTTTAATTTACATTGGGAATGTGTGAGGAATTTTCACATAAATACTAAAGACTAACAATTGGCAGTTTTCCTTGCTAAAGATATTAAGAATTTTATATGAACTCTCCCCAACAGTCTCACGAGGTCAGTTTTTGCCTAAGTCACTCAGTAGTGACGTTAGACTGTGAACTGAGTGTTGTGAGTTCGAATTCTACGGAAAGCATCAGTTCCATGAAGATTCTGGGCAATTATTGTTGATGAGTGTCCGTTGGTTTGAAACATAGGTCCAAGGTTTTTTGCAAACTAACAGAAATTCATAAATTGTTGCTACTTAAAGTGTTTCAAATTTCTTCCCTGTTTAAGCAGTCATGTCAGCGGGAAATGAGATGCCACTTGTCATTGAATTTGTATAATTGGCTATATTATTTAGATCATTGGACTAAAGCTTTTCCTGACCATAATGCTATAGATTAAATCTTGTAGGATAAATAATAATAGGCAAATGACTTGTTTATATAATTCTCCCATGATTTTTTTCTTCAAGATTAGTTTCTGTACTCTTCCATTTATTTGTTTTTGATGGATTCTTTCTCTTCAACTATACCTAACAACTGTGAGAAAAATTTTGGCGGACTAATACTTGGTCCTCTTAACTTCTATAATTCATCAGTATAGGGTCTCAACTATAAGTTAAAGAATGAAAAGAGATCTAAAACATATTCGTAGAAAAAGTCTGAACACTCGGTTTCAAAACGACTCCTATCATAGACTCCTTCGTTTCCATCAAAAAATCTAACTAGAACCTACTGAAAAATCCCTTTTAGTTATCGTTTTGTGACATTTCACTTGTGGTAAGAAAAACTTACATGATCTCAAAAACTGTTATCCCTAATCACCAATTTTCAAGATCACCAAATAATCCCCTATTCGAAATTTCTCATAGAATCACCATTGACAGCGATAATGAACAAAGTCCCCCTTTTGTCTTGACCTACTTTCCCCACTAGTCACTGTACCAGACAACAAGGTAAAATGAATCAATTCTTTTACTGATAACCATAGCTGGCGAGCTACGCAATTAAATTATCCTGCATTTATACAATACCTAATGTAAGGACTACTACTTTTGGGATATGCTGAGCCTCTTCTTAAATCCAGATGAGTAAACTTTTATTTATATCTTAACCACAATGATCAGAAGTCCTGTTTCTTTCTAACTTTAGCCTATGGGTATCTTCGCCTTGTTGGATGAAGAATGCTTCTTTCCTAAGGGAACTGACAAGTCGTTTGTTGAAAAACTCATCAAATCTCAGGATAAACATCCAAAACTGTGTAAAACTGAATTTCGATCTAATGCTGATTTCGGTGTTATTCACTATGCTGGTCGAGTTGAATATAATTCAAATCAATGGCTAATGAAAAATATGGATCCACTCAACGATAATGTGGTCGCACTGCTTCAGGCATCAAATGATCCATTTGTTCAGGTTAGTTTTCGACAGCTCTTTTTTAATTACTACCATATTTAAATGGGGTTTGGGTTACGATCTGGTTCCTGAATCCTTTCTAAATTAGTCTTCAAGTATCGAGTTTAAAAATCGTTTCATTTGAATAGTCAAATAGTATTACTACCTCACCTTTTTCATCATATTTAATTTCAATTTCTTTACATGTTTTACAAGTATGTAAACGTTTGATATCAGGCAGTTGATTTGAAAATTCGAATTTCTAGTATTAATAGTAGCAAAATACGAATTAAACCAGAGTAAACTGCAAACATCAGTTAGTTTGCAAAATAATCTCTAAATTAAGTGCTTCTTTTAAACTTTTGCTGAATATTGTGTGTTTTAATACAATAAATCTGTAACAAATCAGCGTAGATATGAGCTTTATTACACTAGTGGAGATTGAATTTTTAAGTGATCACAGTAAATAAAATCGATAGGAGTTTCAATAAATTTTTATTGATACTAGTTGGGTCGTTTTTCAATGAGTTCTTCCTGCTTGATTATATCACTGATCATGTAAATTAGACAACAACTGTTTTTAAAGTCTTGTGATTTTTATCTTGGTTAATCGATCTAATTCTAGGTCGAGTTCAAAATTTTGTCCATATGATGTCATAAGCTGTCTCAACAGCATTTGTAACCTTTCTGTAAATCGCTTTACAGTAGGATTTCGGTTGTTATTGTTCATATGTCTTATTTTTTGTCAGGCTATGTGGAAAGATGCCGAAATTGTAAGCATGTCAGCCACTACTACGACCGACACCGCTTTCGGTTCTGCTCGTAGTGTTAGAAGGGGAATGTTCCGTACTGTAAGTCAACTCTACAAAGATTCACTTATACGTTTGATGACTGTATTGAAAAATACGTCTCCAAACTTTGTCCGTTGTATCATTCCAAATCATGAAAAAAAGCCAGGGCGAATTGATGGTCCTTTAGTTTTGGAACAACTTAGATGTAATGGTGTGCTGGAGGGCATAAGGATTTGTCGTCGTGGTTTCCCCTCGCGTATCCTCTTCCAGGAATTCAGGCAAAGATATGAAATTTTAACTCCAAATGTTATCCCAAAGGTCAGTACTATTTTAACTAAATATCATATTTTCTGTTGTAAGTTTTTTTATTTATTATCTATCAGTTGTTCAAAAACCCGTCAGTTTTTTGATCATTTCTAGTTTCGTTTGGAATGCCAATTTCAGTAATTAAGAATAGTTTTTCAACTGGATAAAAGAAATGCGTCCTATTTCGTGACTAAAAATCCACTTTTATGTACAAACAATTTGTGGTTTGTAACACTGCTTTTTTAAGTCAAGCAGTATTCCCCATTTGTACAAATCATACAAAGACGTCACATATTTCTAAACAATCTATTCATAAGTCTCATTTATCTTTTAATTTTCATGCAGTATTAGGATTAATTTAGTATTCTGTATATTAAGTCAGTTTGTACACTGCTCACTCTGTATTCCAACTTTTTATAGATCATATATATACCAAGCTTCTGCTGTCTAATTTGCTTTCATTATTGTTGGTTAAGCAGTCGTTAGTGCTTAAGCTATCCTTCTTAACCTATTTTCTTGTATGTACTAACCAATGCCAATATGCATGATTAAGTGTAGGTTTTTGTTAAAATATTCATTTGGTTTCTGAAAATTGAAAAATTAAGCTTCATTTAAATACTGTGTGATGTCTTACTGTATACACACACGACTTCGTAAGGAAATTATTTTTCTGCACTTCACATCACATTCACGGATTTAAAAATCCTTGTTATTTCGAACTGAAAAATTAAATACTCTTAGCATGTCAAATGAAGTGATCATGGATGAAACGATCATTAAGACACTCAACTTTCAATCAGTAGGCTATGACTTTGAATGCCGTCCCATGCGCTTCGTTTTGGGTTGCCAGTTAGTGTCAATAGCCTCCACAAAAACTTGTCTCAAAACTAATTTTACAAAATCTTGCTTGATAAATGAATTAATGTTTCTTGAAAACGTGATAAATTCACGTTAAATTTTAAAATAAAATGGCATTTCTTTATCCAATCCCAGGGATTTATGGATGGTCGTAAAGCCGTTACTGAGATGTTGAAGGCTCTCGACTTAAGTCAAGACGTCTACTGCATTGGTCATAGTAAAATATTTTTCAAAGTTGGTGTCCTGGCTCAGTTAGAAGAAGACCGTGATATACACTTGACTAACTCGATCATTAAATTCCAAGCATATGCTCGTGGTTATCTAGCCCGACGGTAAGTTTGTTAATTGATCAGTTTGCTAGTTTATGTTTTTCGTCATGTCTTACGATTTTAAGCTAATATCCTTTCGTTGTTTGATCATTGATTCCGTTTCTGTGCGTCGAATAAGTTTTATCTTCGCTCTTTGGACACAGCAGACCTTAGGTTTCTTATTTTGTAGGCACTAGTATGAATCTGGGACTTTAACTGTCTAAACAGTTTTTAATCGAACTTGAAGCAATCAAAAACTATCATTCTTCTGATGTTGAAACTTTAATCAAAATCCGCAGTGCAATATTACATTGTATATATATCTATACATTTCTGTATAAACAGAAAGTACAATTGTCTGTTTCAAATGTTTCATCTAGTCTCTTTTGGTATCTGTTATTAACGCTCTCCGTATATATCTAACTGGTTTATATTCTTTATGGGTATCGTTTTCTCTGTTTTCTACAGAGCTAAGGAACAACGCATACAAAACATTCAAGCTAGCAAAATAATCCAAAGGAATTGTGATGCTTACCTTAAACTGAGAAATTGGCCCTGGTGGCGTTTGTTTACAAAAGTTAGACCACTTCTTACTGTTACTCGCCAAGAAGATTTGGTCGCTGTTAAAGAAGAAGAGCTTCGGAAGGTTAGTTTGAATATCATTTTGGATACAAGCTTATAGTTTCGTTTTAAAAGTAATGATGTATAGTCGTTTTTAAATTCCATCACATCTTATTTCAACCTTGAAGTCCTAATAAAATCCAATTATGTATCTGTTTCCAGTCAGTCATACCGACGAAATAACCTGGCACAGATATTCATCAGTTCAAGTTTCTACACTAAGTAAGGATTGCAAGGCGATATGACAATATAAATACCGAAGTGGTAATATTAATTATGGTAAAAAATATTCAAGAAGAAAAAATAAATTCTCGAAGTACAAAGTATTTTTTTTGTATTTGCCCTTCACAACTGTGTTTCATACTCCAGTTCATAAATGTATGAAATTCCTATAAACCTGTCCTCTTCGTACTATCTTCAGACTATTCAGTCATTAATTTATTAGATCCGAGTTAGTATTCCCTCCATCAACCTTTTATGATCGTCAGATGCTGAGGTAGTCTTTCATAATTTGTTTTAAGTGAATTAAACGTCCTATTACTAAGCTTGTTAATCAATATCTAACTGGTTTATTTCGGAAAAGAATATGACAATATGTGACCAGGTTCATTTTGTACAACCAATCATATTTATTTACCTAATATTTTATCGGATCTAATAGAAATCTCTACATTTATTCTTCTAGGTATCATTGCCAAGGTTTGATTTGATGATTTCAAATAGATTGAGCATTGGGTAGATTGTTATAAATAAATAAATAATATATTTGTAATATCCCAATGAGTAGAAAAAGTAGATTTTTGACGTTTCGTGACTTAGTGCAACTCAGAGAATAAATAACCAAATTAAAATTAATGCCAGTTTAAATAGTACAACGGAACAATAAGAATATGTGATCAATCAAAAACAGGTCTGAACAAGTTAATGTCATGTCATTTCGTTGTTGCTACCTTGACGTGTTGGTCGGTCTTGCCTATCATGATGAAGCAACCGAGCTATACTGGCTGGAACAACCGTTCCTCAACGTCCTACCATGTCAGACAGGTCTGTTGAAGAGTGGTAAGACTAAAAGCAAAAAACCCAAGGTCCGAAGGCGAAGTCGTATTGCTGACTGTACAGAAGTGTGACAGCAGTAAGGTGTTTCCTTCAGACAACCAGCATGACAGCGATGCTGCCTTCCCACAAGGAATTTGTAAGATGATAGTGTGAATTGTAAATAAGATCAGACTGAATGGCTAAGATAGATAGTCTAAGTAGCATTTATGGTAAGGCCTTCTTTTCTATTGAGAGAAGTAGGATTAAGCATTATATGGAACGCTTCAGCTACTCTTTGTAATTGGAAAAGCCTTTTTGCAATATTTTGATATTTTTAAAATCAATTTGGTGGTCTTTGAAAATGGCATGAACTGCTATTGCCGATTTAATTTGAAGTCTATCCAGTTCTGCGGGATTGTTAGGAGGTTTCTTTGTGTACCTAATATGTTCTTTGGCTCTAGTTAAGATTCCTCTCCAATATAGAAGGCATCACAATCGATACAACATAATTTGTAGACACAGTTCTGTGTGGACATGAAAGGGTTTTTTTCTTTTAAGCGAGCTAAAGTATTTCGAAGTGTGCCCGTTGTTTTGTAATATACTTTAATTCTGTGTTTTTGTAAGATTCTTTGGAGTTCTTCTGACATCTTTCAGAAAGAGTATTGTCGTTCTCTAATAAACCAATAATAAATTCTAAGCATTTATCAATGGGAATACTGGTGTATAAAGAAAGGACATCAAAGCTTACCATAATCTCATTCTTCTCGATAATTAAATCCGATAATTTTAATTTAAAGTCATATGTATCTTTAATCATATTATGTAAGTTAAGCTGTAGTGATTTTAATATGTTGCTTAGATATTTCGACAACACATATGTTAGTGTGTTGGTAAAGTCTACTATCGGTCTTGGAGGGATATCTGGTATATGTATTTTCAGTAAACCATAAAACCGTGAAACATTGCGTGATTTCGGATGCAGAGCAAAACAAAGCGAGACACCAATGACTGGTTTTAGCTCTTTCAAATGTTGACTTGTTTCTGATTTGACTTTGTTTTTAATCGTTAGAGAATTTTTCTGATTGATCTTTTCATATGGTTCTGTTGAGAGATGTTCAAGAGCTTTATTAATATAATCTGTTTCATTCATGACTACTGTTGTGTTGCCTTTGTCGGCTTTTGTGATGATAATCGTTTTGTCTTTTTTATTTATTCTCTGAAAAAGTGACTTGCACTAAGTCACGAAAAGTCTACTCATTGGGAGATTACAAATATATTATTGATCTACATTTATTTCTTTGATATTGTTTTATTTTAGATTCGTGAACAAATGGAAAAAGTTGTCAGTGAGCTTAATGAAATGCAAAGATCCTACGAAAAGTTAAGCAATGAGAAAGTCCAGCTAAATGCTGAATTACAACAAGAACACGATTCAAATCAAAATTTACAGACAGTAAGTTTTTGTGTATGCGTATCAGATAATATCTTCGATCAAATATCTTTTTATATCATTAGGATGTTTTCGATAATTCACTAAAAGAGACCTTTTCTTTTCTTTGTGGTGTTATATAGGAGCGTGATCGTCTACGCGAAAAATTACAAACTTTAGAAGAAGACTATATGGAACTTGAGAATAGAGATAGTGAAGAAAAATCAAAATTACATAACCTGGAAGCTGAACAAAAACGTCTGTTAGAACAGGTAAATCCTCATGGATTCTTTTATTCTGATCATCTCTTTGAAATGTATATTCGATAATGGAACGGTTAAAATACTCCACCTTTAATAGCTAGAAACCACCTTCGGTTTGGGCAGTAGTAGGATTGTACTACTAGTCTTTTCACATAAAATTTAGCTTGTAGTTCGATGGTACATGACCCAGTAATTAGTTAATTAATTATGTCGAATTTAGTTAATTAAATTCATACATGTACTGCTTAGATTTTATTATATTCCCTGAGTTATCAGTATTTTTTCGTCACCCGTTTTTGTTATTCGTATATATACGTATTTTCTGGTATGGCTTACGTTCTATCCCCCTCATTTTTAAATGTCATGAACTGACATTTCCTCATATATTTGTCAATTTCTTACTAAATTGATTGAGACTTGTCTTCTGTTGTTCATTTTGCACGTTTTCTTCAAGTTGTGTCATTGTAGTAATATTATTTTTGTTTCCGAATCTTAAGCACTCAAACCTGAAGGTTCCTGGTCCGATTTCCTCTGGGGTCGTAGATGCAGAATATTGAGGAATCTAAACCAAGACAAAACATCTTTCCAATGCTTTCTAGTTCTCAGGGCTATATAGTTAAGGTTTCAACTTAATTCTCTATAAAGCAATCTCAATCTATCAGAGTTAAATTCACAAAAACACATCTCACTAATGGATTACTTTGTCCCATTCTAGTACCGCTCATTCGCACGTACATATAAGTATTTTTACCATAGTATTTTCAAATTCATTGGTCTCACTATATTTACTGTTAAACTACCGAAATACATGTGTATAAGATATTTAGATTCACAGCGATTGTTCAACTGTTCTTAATTCACTAAATCAAGAAAGCTTGCCCGTAATTCATGGGCTAAATTTCAAAGTTGTATTCTCATGCATTTTTCGATGTAGTATATTCCTGTATATAATTTTATTTCTATTATATTATTATTTATTTAATTTTTGATTTGTATTTAACAGATATCAGATTTATCAGATCAGTTAGAATTGGAAGAACAACAACGCCAAAAATTACAAGTTGAAAAGACATCTATCGAACAAAAAGTTTCTCAACTTAACGATGGCTATGTTAGCATTGAAGATAAATATAATAAACTTGTTAAAGACAAAAAGCAGTTGACTGATCGAATAGATTTGTTAACTAGTCAGTTAGCAGAAGAAGAAGAGCGTAGTAAACAATTAACTAAACTTAAAAGTAAATATGAAAGTAACCTTAATGAACTTCAGGATAAACTTGTCCGTGAACAAAAATCTCGTCAAGATATCGAAGTGGCAAAAAGACGACTTGAAACTGAGGCTTCCGAACGTCTAGATCAAGCATCGGAATCGTCAAGGATTGTTGAGGAGCTCCGAGCCACAGTGGCTAAACTTGAGGCAGAAGTTGCTCAATTACAAAATCGATTAGATGAAGAGATTGTTGCCAAAGCTGTGGCACAAAAATCAGTGCGAGAATATAAATCACATATTCAAGAACTCAAAGAAGACTTAGAAGCTGAACGAATGGCGCGTGACAAAGCTGATGAAGCTAAAAGAGATCTAACGGAAGAAGTGGAGGCGATGAGATTAGAACTCATTGACAGTGGAACAAACAGCGAGGCACAAACTCAAGCTCTCCGAAAATATGAATCTGATTTATCCAACCTACGTCATCAGCTTGAAGCTCAGTCAAAGTATGTAGTACTGTTTTCAAGCAACATATCCAACCACTTGTGTGTAATGATTAGTTAAAACACTTATACAAGTCGTCTGTAGGACATTGGGGAAAATTCATATCTAAATACTACCTAGTGATAAATAAAAGCATTCCTCAGGACTTGTACTGAGATCGACAATGTTACGTTCTTCTAAACAGAAGACTGCTGTTAGCTTTACACTTGGATAGGAAAGTATATTGAAGATTTAAAAGCATACTTTCTAATAGAATCGTGTTCTATAAAAATCCTACTCACATTAAATTGTAAATAATCGTCAACTATAATTGATTAGTTAACTGGACAGTCAGTAGAAGAATTTGATGTTATGGTTTCAAGTCTTCCATATTAATACTAGGTGTTTATATCTAATGTCTTTATGCAATTATTACGTTGTTTGACCAACATAATTTCTTCACTGTTTAATGTATACTCCATATTCAGTGACTTTATATTTCGTTCAGTCTGTATATGCATAACTAATAACACGTTTCTTATCCATCTTAATAATACATTTATCTAGTTGTTATTTCAAATCAATGCACAACCTGTTGGCAATAGATCAGTTTTTATAGCTTCACTAAATAGGAAAATATTCAGTCACTTAAATGACACCTTATTAAATACGCGTAATTTTGTGCAACATATTAAATCACAATTGTTATTCATTCTCTTGTCATAATACTTTATTACCTTAATTTCTTCATTATTTAGTTTTGTTCATTTGTTTCTCATGTAATATATTCATTCAGTGCCCATGAAGCTACTATTCAAGATATGCGCAAATCTCATGCCGCAACTCTAGAAACATTAAACGATCAAATTGAACAACTTAAAAAAAGTAAAGTTTCCTTAGAAAGATCAAAAGTTCAACAAGATTCAACAACTGATGCATTACAGAAACAAATTCAAAGCCTTAAACAAGACAAGTGAGTATATATATATAGTACATAAAAATACCCAATAGTCTGTTTTATTGGTTTTCATCTTTTTTTGTATGTGTATGTGTCAAAATAAGTCATTGAATATCTTCAAAATGGGGGTTTGTGGAAATTTTAGTAATTTAATGGTTGAATTCATAAATTGATTTAAGCTAGACCACCATGAAAAACCTGTAAGAACTGGACGGCAGTTCGATCCTAGTATGGGAACCCTCAGCAGCACACATTCACGATCCCACACACGGGACACGAACACATACTAGGACGAAATATTTCTTCCAGGTTTTCCATGGTGGTCTAGCTTAAATCGACTCAAGAGTTCAACCATAGAATATTTGTCCTACTATGATTAGGTTATGTGAATCACTTATCATTACTATTACTTTTGCACGTATGACTTTTTTATTCGTCATTTTCTGTAGTTTCCTCATCAATTTTAAATCATTCATTTAAAAGACGTCAATTCAATATGGCATAATTATCACTGACCTTTATTCTTTGATATTTATAATTATGTTATATTTAGTACATCAGGAAGCGAAGTTGTCGTTCGTCACTTTTTTTGAAAACTAATGTATTAATCGTATTAGTTAGTGTCAATAATAGTATTCATGACGCAATCTCATCGGTCAAACACATTCATTCACTAGTTCATATTGGCATCGCTCCTAAGGATAGACTTTTATACCTATAGTCAAACATAAATGATATACCGGCATATTTTGGTTTAAAAAACCGTACATAGTTTTTGTATATACATGACATCAGTTCATGAAGTTATTGATTGTTAATCGGTGTAGATTTACCCCGATTGGAGCACATACCATTATCATGACCAATGGTTCAAGACTTTGGTTGACATGTCTCAGAATCAGTCATAATGGTGTAGTGAACGAGGACACAAGTGGGGACGATCGAATCTATTTTAATATAACATTACAGAATATCTTAGTAAAATCTGAAAAGCATACAATAAACACTTCATTTGCAAAATATCAATCAATCGTCTCATACCTTATTGTTCCTTCATTTCCACATCAATCGTTCTCTTTTCTTCGATCTTCATAACCTTCTGCCTCCAAGCATTTCACTTTCAATTGGTAATACATACTACTTATATATGTCGAGGTCAGTAGCACACCACATTGGTACTGAGATATTCACTCTTTGTTTTCATTGTGACTTACGTCTTAAAGTCGTTTTGTACTTTTAATTCTACGAGTTCATTTTTTATCAAATCCTGTTATTTCTTTTCTAACTTATTATATTATTATATATTATTACTAACAATACTACTAATCTTATCATCTGAATTTTTTATCTTTATGTGCTTACATGGTGTGAAAAATTGGGCCAATCCATATACATTCCCAGATTTTATGATACTTATGACTAGTTGATAAACCCCTCTAGTCTCCTGAAATTACCTATTTTTCCCTTATTGTAATTCATTAAATTTGGATGACAGAAATCCATATTTAAGTTCATCAGCGGCAGAAAAACTTAAGCTCTCATGGTAATCTGATTTTTTCAGTTTTAATTAATTCAATTGTGTATACTTTTAGTTCACAAATTTTCTACTGCTTTTCCACTTTACATCACTTTTTATTTCTAGAACGGAAATTGACAAACGTCGTCGTCAAGTTGAACAGCAACTAAATGAAAGTTTAGTCAAAATGCAAGAAACAGAAATGCAACGTAATGATTTAGAGTCCAGACTCACTAAAGCATTGAATGAAATTGAAGGTTTGAATAATGCAATGGAAGAAATCGAAACTAAATTAGGCAAGGTCTCGCGTTCTGAAACCTCTGCACAATCTGAACTCAATCATTTACGTGCACGTTTGGAAGAAGAAACTCAGGCAAAATTAAGCTTACAGTTACAGTTACGCCAAGTAGAGGATGAAAGAGAAACAGTAAAGGATTCACTGGATGCTGAAGAACAAGCCAAAACTGCTCTAGAGAAACATATTATAGCACTTACTACTCAGGTTGTTACCCTTTTTTTCCATGCGATGTTTTTTTAGAACGGCTTTAAATATATAACTCATGTGTTGATTATAAATCGCTTTATAATCCATTTAATATATGGGATTTATTCTTATTACGGACATACTTATAAGAACTTGGGCTATCTTTGGGCATTTTTGCCCATGAAATGGAGAACATGTACTTCATTCAGAAAAAATCAGTGGAACAAGCTAATTTTTAGGGATAGGTTTGCCGACTCAATTATGCTTATTCTTTCTGTGTAATTTTACTCATTTGGTTGGTACTTCTTGATGGTGATAATATTTAAGGCATATTGAGCTATTAGTAAGTACTGCAAATTGAAATGGATTTTATTGTAAATTTTCTATTCGACTTGGAAAACATCTCATCCTATGTCACAGGTTACAATACCTAAGTTCATACTATTTGCCCTCTTTTCTTATTCCTATCTCATATCCTTTACTTAATTAATCTCTATATTTTACTAAAATTTCATTCGCTATACGAAATTTTTTAAATTTATAGATGCAAGATGCAAAGAAAAAAGTGGAAGAAGATACACATTATTTGGAAACCTTGGAAGATGCTCGTAAAAAACTTCAACGCGAATTGGATGATACTCGGAATCGTAATGAAGAACTTGTTTCACAAGTTGAAAAGTTAGAGAAGTCACGCAAGAAATTACAAAGTGAAGTAAGTTGTTATGTTACTTCCCAACTCTAGCAACAATTGATCTTGCTTCAACTATACAGTTTATAATGATATGTTTAATTTCAACCAATAGTGTTCTATTTACATAAGTTTCGTAACTTACAGCTTAGGTGATGTTAAATAGCGTTATTCTTATCTACATTACTATAATTAGTATGTGAATATATAAGGTGTACATTTCATGCTAATAGAATGTTACATAACTTGGAGTGGAAAAACGAACATTCATTGCTCCAACTATATTTGGAAATCTTATTTTTGTTCAGAATCCCTTCAAATTTTTGAACAAACTGATCTAAAATTATTTATCCTACTACCGACCAACCAAGCTACAAGAATTAACTGCCTTAGTTTTATTTTATTTGTCAAGTATTATATACATAAGTCGTTGATGCATTTTTATTCCTTCACTCTAAGCCGATAAGCTCAATATCTTTTATTGATCTAACGATTAAAAATGGCTTCATTTTTTTCGTCAGTAGTCTTGCTAGCTAACTAACTATATTAGACAATACTTTCAAACATTTTTATTAGTTCTTGTTAATTCCCATCGATTATGTAGAGTATTAATAAAAGAAAGTCATCGGTAAATCAAAATCAGCGAAATATTGTCTGCTTGTAGTTTAATTTGCAGCTGATTTTGAAAAAGAAACAAGTCTTTCATTATGGCCTTTTTCGCATCAAATTATGATTCTAAACTGAATCTTTCAATCATAAAAAAATACTTTTTTTACTCTCTGCTTAGTTATGATTATTATATAAATCTTTTTTTCAGCTTGAAGATATGAATCATGTCATGGCTAGTCAACGATCTGATCAAGCTAATAATGAACGTCGAATCAAGAAATTAGAATCAACTCATGCAGAAACTGTTAATCAACTTAATAGTTTTCAGGCTCAAAAAGATGCATTTTATCAAGAAATGCTTGAAAAAGACACAAAATTATTCACACAAAAGAATGAAATGGAAAAGCTTAAAGAACAGCTAGAAGAGTCAGAACGCCAGCGTTCATTACTCGCTCGTGAATTAGAAGAACTTGGTTCTCATGGGGATGATGCTGGTAAGAGTTTAGTAGGGTTGGAACAAACGAACTATCGTCTAAATGAACGATTAAAAGAAACTCAACAACAAATAGAAGAACTAGAAGATGAGATTTCGACATTTACCATGGAGAAACAACGTGCAGAGGTTAGTTGATTCAATCAATGTTTTCACCTTTTCCATAGTATTAAATATATGTATATTGATTCATGATGAGGAACTTCGTTTATTTTTCATTCGATAGGTTCAAATGAATGCTGTTCGCACTCAACTGGAACGAGAATTGGCGTCTCGCGATGACTTGCTCGAAGAACAAAGACGTCAATCTCTTAAACGTATAAGAGAACTTGAAACTGAATTAGAAGAAGAACAAAGAGAACGTGCTAGTCATCTTAATGTTCGCAAAAAATTGGAAACTGATCTTGCAGATATTAGTCAACGCTTTGAATTAGCGAATCGACAAAAAGAAGAAGCTGTGAAACAATTGAAAAAATACCAAGGTGTTACTGGTGGCATTCAGCGTGAACTTGAAGATGCTGCCCGTGCTCGTGATCAAGCTATAGATTCTGCACGAGAATTGGACAAGAAATATCGTATGCTGGATGCAGATAAAGCTCGACTTCAAGAAGATTTAGGTGTAAGTGAAAGAACTTGTCGTAATCTAAAGAGTGATTTAAATGAAGCTTTGGAAGAGCTATCTATTGCAAATAATGCTAAGTAAGTTCCCTATTTGTTTCAATATTATCAATTTTATGTGTTGATTTTTATTTTATATTACGGCTAAAATCAATTACCTCATTTATTCTTTAGAACTTTAGCACTGGAAGAAAAGAAGCGTTTAGAAGCTCGTATTACTGCTTTAGAGGATCAACTGGAAGAAATACAAAGTGCTATGGATGCTACAGAAGAGCGCCATAAACGAGTCTACTGTCAAATGGAACAAGCTCAGACAGATTTAAGCGTCGAGAAGAATAACTTCCTACGTTCAGAGTGTCAGAGAATCTCTCTTGAAAAACAGGTACATTCTTTAAAGTTGTTAATTGTTATATCACATTCAACAAACTAATTTTTGCCTTCTCACAATTATGGTTTCATTTCGCCTATGGAATTTTAGGTGAAAGAATTACGCGATAGGCTAGTTGAAGCTGAAAAAGAAGGAGGTCGTCGTGGTAAAGCTCAAATTGCAACATTAGAAGCTCGTTTGACAACCTTAGATGAGCAACTAGAAGCAGAAAAACTAGAGAAGTTAAATGCAAATAAAAATTTCCGCAGAGCTGAAAAGAAATGCAAAGATCTAATCCTCCAAGTTAGTGTTTTTTCTTTACTTTTCTTATTTTATTACCGGTATTCATCTTAAAAACTTATGAGACTACATCTTAGTTATTTCATTTCAACATTTATCACATTCTTATGCGTATATATATGTAACTTGTGAATCTATGCAGTAAATTATTAGTCCATTTGTCAGAACGTTACTTAATATTTGATTCATAGAAGCTTTTCTCATTTATATTTACTTGGATGATTATTTATCAAGTGAAATGTACTAATTACTTCCATTCCACCGCATTATTTAAAACAACTTCCTTTATATCATGCCTTGAGCAAATAATCCTCCTTCGATGATGAAATCTACAAGTTATCTGTTGAAGATACTATGGATTCATCGTTAGGATTTGTACTAATAAATGTCTTCCTATATAAATTATAAGGTACATCTAACAGAGTAATTTATTTATGCATTTAAACACAAACGTTTGTATAAGGATGCACCAATTACATATTTGTCACACAAATCATTCGATATTTATCAGGGCTGGAATACTGTCCAGGTGCCCAAACTAAAGCAGGTGGTTTTCTTAGGTGGTCACTCCCCGAGCCTTTGACCTAGAGGTCTAATTCATAAGGCGGCGGAGCAGCGTTGGGAGGCGATCCCATAGTAGCCGGTGATCAACAATAGGTTCATGCACCATTTGTTTTCTCAGGATCCTAGAGCCCATATGACCACTGTTTTTGAATCAGGGTTTTATGAATTTTCATATCCACCAACCCGGTTAAAGCATCGGACATTCGGTCCTCTCAATTTAGTAAACAACACTCCGCCTGTTAGCGACTGTATTCGCGTGGCTATATGATAGCATTTCGGGAAAGAGAGCGGAATCTCCCCATCCTCTACTGTCCCAGAGCATTTGGGGGAAAGTGGAGAATAACATCAATTTGTTCTTTTCTATATTAATCATATGTTAACTACACTTATCCTTACCATATTGCAAATAAATTATTGTCATTCATATATGAATAAAACCTAACGGTTGATGTGTAAAATTTAAAAGTAACAATTACCAAAGAAATCGAAATGCTGACGATATTTTGAAACATCAATTGTTTAGCTTTAAATATCTTAATTAGGTTATGTGTACACTCAATTCACCGTAATGATAATGATAACCGCATTGTTTAGTAAATATCAGTATTCAGTCGATATTTGAAATTACTATTGATTTTGTGTTGTTTTAACTAGAATATGTTTATTACTTTACCTTAATTAATTAATTAATCATTTTTATGATTGTTATTTATTACTTATTACTTATTTATTATTTATATATGTATGTAATATTTTCCGGTAAATGTTATCTGACTTATCAATCTGCATAGAATGATGATTTGAGACGATGTGCAGAAGCGTTGAAGGAATCTTTTGAAAAAGCTCAATCTTCATGTAAACAAAATAAACGAGAAATAGCAGGTCTTGAAGAAGAGAACGCCAGAATCAATGCAAGATGTCGCCGCCTCCAAAGAGATTTGGAAGAAGTAATGGAAGCTAAACGAACCATTGAACGAGATCTACAAAATCTTCGTAAACTTAGTCGGTACGTCTGTTATATTTTTAAGTATATTTATTTTAACAGTTTACTCAGTGTGACCCCAAGTATTAACAGCAGAAGAGGGTAAACTTTTAAGATAACGTTTTATAATAATAATACAGTAAATGTAGATTGATTTAATCGACAATTAGAAACGAGTTCATCATCAAGTTGAGTGGGTTTTTTGCCAATTTAAATATAGAGAAAAATTTCGCAGCTACACAAACGTTATATGTGAATAATAATATTTTTTTGTTGGTTGAAAAAAAGTGATAATCTGGAGGGGCGTAAACAACTGATCGTTGACAGTAATAAGAAAACACTATCGCATCAAGAAGAAATAGATATTGGCTCTGGTATTCTTTATTTTTATTCAAATGGAAGAATGGAATTGTACACCAGTTAAACAATGTACATACCTTGTTGTATTTGTTTTTGTATTGTACTCGTAGTAAACAATTTTTCATCTAATAGCATGAAAAGAAACATGTACTCTAAAAGTATATGAACTTATTCGAATAGTTGATGTGCTTCTAACAGAAAATAAAGTATAGATTATCTACTGTCAGGCTTTCAATAATTAAAATAAGAAATATTGGTTTCATAGAAGAGTTTTCTTTTCAGGAAATTCATTTTCAAGTCTGTGCAATCGCAAATATATAGTAGTTTTATTGTTGAGGGCTTGAATACTCATCATGACAATAGACAGGAAATGTTCTAACCCTTAACAATAAATCTATTATTATTTTCCATGATAAAAACAATGGTCTAATACATTTGCTTATTCTACCTCGCTATTATCACGTTTAACACAATTTTATTATCACTATCATTGTAATTGTTTTCATCTTGAAAAATAAGTATATATTTGTGATTGCACAGCTTTGAAAATGAATTTCCTGAAAAGAGAACTCTGCTCTGAACCAATCTTCAACAGGTATATTCTGTTTACTTTCAATAGGTATCTCAGAAGAAATAAACGACATACACCAGAATACGTGGGAATGGGCGAATAATTAAAAGTATTTGTAAAAGATATACAGATAGATAATGGGCAGCACCAGTAACTGAATATTACAACGGAAAATATAACTATCATTATTCTCACTGTGTTTGTGTATACTGCAAATAGTGACGTTATAAAAGAAAAATTATGTAATCGTAACGAAAAGACCCTGACGATTTTTATTCATCATCGAAAGGATGTGAACCGTTTGAAGATAATATAACAGTGTCGGGTGTGAAATAACTCGTAGACACCAAATGGCCTGTTAAAAAGTCTTATTTCAAAAACAAAAATGAAACAACATACAGCCGCGAGAACAATTATGGTGAATTACAATACCCGACAGTGATGATGGTCCTGATCAAAGCCGCGAAAAGCATATAAAATATAATTTTTCGTGAACACACATGTTTTCCGGTTTACGCTTTCCTTATCATCTAGTTTGATGCATACACATTTTTAGTGCTTGTTATATGGAAAAAGTACAAGCAAAACATTTTTGAAGAAAAACTGAATTCACCTAATTTGTGTTTTTACGCTAGAAAAATTGGGAGGGAAAGGGGGTCGGTGTGATAAAGAGAAAAAAACATTATTTTAGCACTACACCCCAATCAACGTGAAAGGCGTATGCATATGTGTAGTTAAACTTACTGAATTTCATCCTTTTCGAGAATTCATAGTGATTATTTTGTATGGTTGTTCATAGGATTTTTTCCGGCGGTACCAACACATTCTCTCTGTCCTTTCTTACTACTGCATACTCATACATAAATAGCATCCTATTAAAGTTTTTTCCGGCCATCAAGACTAACTGATTTGATATGTTTTTTATTACCGGTGTGTTGTGTATTTCTGTTTAAAATCCTATATGATTTTTTACTTTTCTCTGTTGATTGATATTCCCTTTCTTTGTGTACTTCTCACATAGAGAAACGTTTTGCGTGGAATAATGATATTTTCTCCCTCTCTTTGCGTATGTGTAGTTTACAAATTATGCGTTATCAACGTAACAAATTGTGTATTTGAATTTTTTTCAGTGTTTTAGTGTTGTGGTTTCATGTTTTATTTGACTGACAAATATCAAAATTATTTTTTTAAAATTATCATCATTATATTCTTCTTTTCACCTATTATTAGAAGTACGACTCGTCCAAATCGTCAATTGCCGACAGTACTTTCAACACTTTCACCTGATGTTACAGTAGATGAACATAATTCAGTGAGTGAATTGGATTCTATGACTAGTGATTTTGGAAGCGGTGGATCAGTTGCTACTCACAACAATAATAATAATAATGCTTCTACGCCTTCAGCTAATGAAAATTGAATTTTTTTTCTATTATCTACAAACTATTATTATTATTATCACAAAATATCACTGGGAAAGTCTTGTTTTACTTTCCTATTTTTAACCTATTTTGGGCAACTCATAGTACACAAATATGCTGTTACACAACTTGCACGAACAGCTATACACTTTATCTATGGTATACTACTATTATGGCTGGTGTGTTATTTTTCTCATCACTACATCACAACTTCCAAAGCCAACCTGAGTTTACTCCGCGTACATATATATACGTTAATGTGTATGGCGGTTGTTCCAATTCTCTATTAACTAACACTACAAGTATTATTATCTTGATAATCATGGTTGCTTTATGTATCGGAAGAATTTTCATTCCTTTACACTAAGGTGCGTCTCTAAAACTTCGAACCTTGGTGTTTTCAAACCTCCGATTTTTTTTAACAAAATAGAAATAAACTTTTTCTAACTTTGTTGGTTTTTTAATGATTCTGATTGGATTTTTATAAAAAAGTTTTGCCCTTTGCTCCATTTGTAAATCAATGTTAAAACTAACAACATATTTGTTATTGCTTGTTTAATTATGATATATATTTCAGCCATTATCAGCAGTCAAATACATCACTCTAAATATGGCACTTATTACTTTTCTTAAGATATGTTCTTTCCTTTTTGTTCTACAAATATTGCGTCCAACCGTCAACAGTTAGAATTGTTGAAATTTATGCTATCTGCCGCCTTCTCTGCAAACAAAACTAATTTAAAATTGATATGATGTTTTCTATCTTGAGATGCGTTTTTAAAAAAAAATTATACTTGCACAACCTATAGTTCTTTTCTGTCTTTGACCTTCGATGTCAATCTGAACGTTATCTTTAGCTCAGATTTATTTGTTTCCCTTCTGACCACAGAATAAGCAATGCTTGGGTTATGAATAAAGTACTAGGTAAATATGGCAAGTCGATTGGTTAAGTAGTGAATCTTCATCAAGTTAGGTGTATGGGACATGTCACTTATGCCTATCCACCACCTTTCTAGACGAGCAGTGTCTGATGTAAGAGTAGGCTAATAAGAAAGGTAAGGGCGGCCAAATTAAGACATCCGTTCATGAAATCATCGAAAGTTGGAGTGAGCCATGTTAATAGGTGTAAACTACCTGGTTGAGCTATGCGTGATTATCGTATCCTATGGTTACAGACCTTAAATGACATGGCCCAAAGTAGTTTGAATCCTGAATGCCTGATTTGTTCCATTGCCATTCATACTGCTACTACCTCTACTGTTGTGGGATTTGGCTTGACAGTTTCATCTTTGTGCTAATAGAGTTTGACAGGTTGAATCGATGTACATACAGGTTTTATGTTGTGACTCTGGTTTTCCTTCTGATTTGTTACCGTCGGTTGTTTTATTTGAATAAATCGATGTATATAATACTGGTTACAATATGTACAATTCACCATTCGATTCATGTATTCTTTTGTAGAACAGTGGATACTATTATTGCATATTTTTTAATCCATATGAGGTAGTTACATCTTAAGATACAATCCATATCTTTATAGATATTTTAGTATGCATTTAGAAACTTCAGTTCTATAACTTATCCTTTAGTGCCTTAACTGCACTTCATCCTTGTTTTTTAAAATGGTCCTCTCATACAAGTGTCGCTGTATTCGATTATTCTGTCGTTCATTTCAACCATCATAACAACTTTTAAGGTAGTATGATACTTCTAACATGTTAATCTGTTTGGATTATAGACATGCATACTCAAGCACAAATCGAAACGTCTGAATTAATGATTATTATCCTATTATACGAGTAGTGTACAGCTATTTATCTTGTTGTGGATGTTTTTCACACCAATTTACAATTCTCTAGCATACAGATAATAATTGTTTACAATTCAAGTAACTGACTCAGTATTCCACTAGACAAGATTTACGTAGGTAGCTTAGTGAGAATTCAATCGATAAAGCGAGCTACTGAGTTTGTAAGTATATAATATTGAGTCACATGTGCACCAAAATGTTCTGTAAAGTATATTTTGATAGTATATGCATTTTATATTTTCCATTCAGGAAAAAACGCAGATTTATATGGTATATTCAATTTAAAATGTAATCTAAAAGTCTATTTAATTATTCAGTGCACATTATTCTGACTAGCTTTTCATTTTGGAAGTATGGATAAATGTTAATTTGAGCATACGGTTATAGAAATGACAAAAATGAGTTAACGGCTCGATGTAAACCGTTAAACATGCAACAGGAATCAACCTTGGGTATTCACTCACTCCACCATAAAGAAGAGTAGCACTGATTAGACTTTAGACTCTTCATCTCTATTTTGTATTTATCAGTATAGGGTTGTGGAGATTATTAAGTTTTTTTTGAGACCATCAACTGATTAACCTTAGACCATTGAAAAACAGGGATCACTATAGCCGTTTTGTTCTGGTATGGAAATACCCAGCGGTGCGCATCCATTACCCCCCACATGGGACTCGGACCTAGGATCTTACCGAGGTTTCTGTGCAGGCTAACTGTGTCTTTCGAAGTTTATTACTTGAATTGAGCTAAATTCTAGAAACTAATCACCTTTTTTACTAACTTAAGTAATGGCCTCATTCTGATCTTGATAAATGTGACCTACATTCTGAAAATAGTAGTGATCAAATGTCATACTTATAGATGAAGCTGTGGTTTTGATATCTCACGTTATGCTAATTAGTCGAGGTTTACATATTGTCTACACTCAAGAAGTCAGGTATCCATATGAGTGAAGTAGTTGTTATAATTTACCTGTTCATTATAAAAAGAAACATAACCTCCTAGGAACTTTTTTCAAATCCCCATTAATGGTACTGCTTGTATAGTCGACAAAACAAATTGCCAACGGTTGTAACTGATATAATGGGACGAGTAGTGTGAAAGTGTAACTTGTAAGACTATCAGACGAAAGACTATTACACGTATTTTTATTGTGTAATTTATATCTAATTTTTCCTTTGACCCATAAATCATCATGTAGGTAATTATTTCTCTATTACTACGGCTTTTTATCACATATGACTAAGGTTCGTACATATTGTGATTTTCTAACTTTGTTGGTGTATGATCATTCATTCAGGTATATTGTTGTGTGTTTTCAGTCATGAAGAAGAGTAGAATAGATAGCTGATCTGCTTTCTGTGATTATCTGATGATTGAATATTTGGTTGGAAGGAGCAGCTCGAGAACAAATAAGCATCGAGACCTCGGTGGCTATTCATTGGTTGATGTCATCTGGTAAATAGGTCACTGGTCGTACTGGTAATATAGGTGATCCAATTAATAGTCAAACTAAAGAGAGAGGAAATACAACGGCCGTTGCAATTACGACTTGATCATACGAGCTCCAATATAATCCAAGGAATCCGTTTCTCTATTTTTCCGTTGCATCAATAATTCTTACAGGTACATAACTATTCAGCCTAATTATATAGTAGCATCGGTAACATTAACCAAATTGTCTCCTAATACAAGGCTACTGTAAACGCTTGAATTTAATATGACTGTCGATCAAACATTTAATATTCACATTACAGATGTTATGATGTGCGAGTGATTGAAGTTGAAAAAAGACACAAATATATATATATATATATATATATATATATATATATATATATATATATATCATAATTACGAGTATAGTGTGCTGAAACTTTGGTTACACAATTCAAACATGTTACTGATCTAACAAACTGGTGTAACTGGCTTAATCTAAAACCCTTAGGTTTTATTGTACTGTACACTCTCACATAATCTATTGTCTTAATATTATACCATTAATAAATATCAGTGCTTTTAACAACCGTAATATATCGTATTGGGAATACTACCTAACCCAAAACTTAAGTTTTAAAGCTTCGTGCCAATTACTTTGAATCACTCAAAATCAGTCAATTTTCTTAGTATAGTAGAACATTATAAGCAGCCTGTTTTGATCAGTACCAACATCTGATTTTGCGTTTATGACTTAGCTTTCTATTTAATCATTCAGTTTTCATTATCAATTTTCTTATTTAGTAGTTTTTACCCAGATTATGATGCAACCTAATATATGAATATCATTGTGGTGTACGCTACTTATGTCTGTTGACATAAGTAGTGTGCAACACCGACCAGAAATGGAATACCTATCAAAAGAAGGTTAGGAAAATTGAACCGAAGGTAACAGAAATAAATCGAGAATTGGAAGAATCATGAAAGATGTAAAGGACAATTGATGAAAATTTGTAAATGAGTTTTTAATGTATGGTTTTCATATTTTATGAAAGAACTCTGTAAGTTCGAATAAAATAAATGAATTGGTCTTCCCCACCTGAGTTCTCATTCACTACAACACTATTCATGTACCATAAATAGATTATCATAGAAGTTACTTTCAAGAAATTTTACATTGTTTTGGTGCGTGTATATATCACCTCAACTACCATTCCAAGTATACTGGTTGAACGCTGAGTAGTGACCATTGTCATGTTTGTTTGATCGTTTAGTGCAAATCGAATTTTATCAATCACTATCTGTGATATATTCATTAGTGTAAGTGACTTCAAGTAATTTTTATAAATTCAATATGTAATACTCCTTTTTAGGTATTTCTCAGTTCATATAATGCAATAAATGACCATAACAGTTGAGTATGATTCTGACCTAGACACTTCTTTTTAGAATCAACCCAATAACTATTTTATTGAATAGAAACTAACAAATAAACAATAGTCGATTGTCTTAAACGTTAAAGTTACGTAACATTTCTTACCTCAATCGATTTATTTCACATTGAGATAACTTGAGAAAAAAAAATTAGTTAAAAAAATCCATAATATGGTTTCTTATCCACATAAACTTATTTCACTAATTGGACTGATGGAAGAATCTTAATGAATATCATAAGTAAACTAATACAGGATAATTTGTTTTTCAAAATAAAATATTTTCACAAGTTAACTTCAACTACTTCTGAATAATGGTGATATCATAGTTTAATATGTTCAGTTATTGTGTTTTGGTTTCGAACTTTTGTTCAGAATTTGATTATTCTGACCAAAATACATAAGTGTACGAATTTCTATGTTGGAAATCATGTGAATAAGAAACTTACGTGTTTGAATAATTACTGAATTCATCTGTAAATAGATAAATAGCTTATATATATATCCAAGTTATGTGTATGAAGTAATTTTATGTTCAATGACCTTGAGTTTAGTTTATGAACAACTTATCTTACATAACTACTTGCATGTAAAGGAATCATTTCCCTCCTATTTATATGATAATAATGAAAACATAGTTTTTTGAGATTGCGCAGTGATTCCACTCTCTTTTTCTTTCTCTCAATATATTCCACTGTAATTTTTTTCTCAATAACATTTATTAACAATTGTATAATAATCGTCAGTAGGTTAATCGTTCGCGCGCGTGACCGAAGGCCCTGGGTCTGAATCCCGCGAGGGGATCGTGGATGCGCACTGCTGAGAAGTCCCACAATAGGACGAAACGGTCGTCCAGTGCTTCCAAGTTTCCAAAAGTGGTCTAACATCGATCGGTTCATGACCTCAATCAAAAATTTTACGTCTGTTGAAGTCTTGTATTAACTTAACAGAATCTTCAGCCTTTAGCTTTCTAACTTCAGTGAAATCGTCATACATAAATAGCAACACATCACGAATGCAGTCTACGTTCTTTTGAGGTCAAATTGCTTAAAAAGCCGTTTGATGATATCTTGTTTTAATGGAGTTTTGTTCTCTGAGCTGGATGGTTTGGTCTTGGAGCTTTCA